ACTTACAGGCCCATTGTCTGCCAACCCTGTATATGATCTTGGATACACTCTCCATTTAGACATACCTAATTGTTTAGCTTGTTCACCCATCTATCCGTCCCTATACCCATGTTTGCTTTCACTGACAACTCAGTATTGTATATGCAAAGGGGTTCATATTTGTTGTTTGTACTGCCCATGTAACTAAAAAGAGGTCATTTTGAGGACAAAAGTGTGCCTGACCCAAGCCATGGTATTTTCGATCACCTCATATGCATGCAAAACTGGACAGTGAATAAGGAAGACCAAAGAAAAACTGATAGCTTTAAATGATGTTATTGGTGAAGACTACTGAATATACCATGGACTGCCAGAAAACAAACAAATCTGTTTTGGAAAAAGTACAGCAGAATTAGAAGCAACGATGGTGAGACTTCATCTCACATGTTATGGACATGTTGACAGGTGGGGCCACCCTGGAGAAGGACATCATGCTTGGTAAAGTGGAGGGTCAATGAAAAAGAGGTGGACACTCACAGAGATGGATTGACACAGTGACTGCAACAGTGGGTTCAGACATAGCAAGGATTGTGAGCTTGGCACAGGACCAAGCAGTGTTTTGTGCTGTTGTACGTAAGGTTACTGTGAGTCAGAACTAACTCTACAGTCACCTAATAACAACAAAATTTTCCTACCAATAAAAAAAAGATGAAACCTTGCCTTAACCTTGGTGTATTTGCAGTAGATGAGCTACTTTCAAAAGAAAAAGAGGAAAACCCAAGTAATCAGAGAGTCAGGAGTGAAGGCTGGTGAGCTGCTGCTACGGAGCCTTCACAGTTAAAGAAGGCCTAGGAACTCAAGGCCTTGGCTGTAACGTACCATGACTGTGTGTTTACACAGGTATAACACGGGGCTACTGCAAAGCCCAGAGGATTCTGGCCCTGGTGATGACGAGTCCCCATCAACCTCTTCAAGCACAGCTGTAAGCTCTTCGGTGCCAGGTATGGTGGCATGCTAGACAGGTCTCCTGTCCCCCTGCCTGTGGGGGAAGATTAACATGCCCCTGCCTGTCATCTGGTGACATCTGTTCTCACTGCCTTTTTTCCTTAGCCAGGGCTTGATATGTGTCTCAGTGTCTTGTTGCTTCCACGTGGGTACACTTCATGTGTGTCACCAGCCCATGCCTGGTCTGGAGGAAGTTGTAGGAGCAGATTTAAGTCACTAAAGGAAGGAGCTAGGTGTATCAGGAAGGGTGATCCTGAGGCAAATGATTTCCCCCAGGTTGGACTTTGATCCAGGATAGTGACTGATGGTACCAACCCACTTCCTCCTCAAAAGACAGGCAGCTGGGGCAGTGAGAAGGGTGGTTTGTAGACAAGCCACCAGGCTCCTTAGTAGGTGTTTGTCAGGTGCACTTCTCACAGTGTTTTCAGTTGAAGTGCATTTTATTTCTTTTTGACTGAAGATCTACCAGGGTATTACTTTGACCCTGAAAAGAAACGCTACTTTCGCTTGCTTCCTGGGCATAACAACTGCAACCCTCTCACGAAGGAGAGCATCCAGCAGAAGGAAATGGAGAGGAAGAGACTGCAGCTGGTGGAAGAGGACAAGCAGAGAAAGGTGGGCTCCACACTCATCCGCTCCATCAGCATCGACCCGCTGCTGAAAGGAGGTGCCAGCGGATGCCCCATTACACAGCGTACAGTGCACTTTAGGGAGTAGGGCTCGAGATTTTCCCTGACAAACCTGATGGAGTAACTAGGAATAGGCAAGGAGTCCCTCCTCCCATCCACTCAAAATTTTTTGTCTGTTTGCTGAGTTTCATCAGTAATTCTAACGTTTTGTCTTGCCCCAGTGGAAACTTGGGAAGCAGCCTGACACACTCTCGGCGACTGCATACTGGAAATAGAAAGCCCAATGCATGGCTTGGATGTGAGGGTTTCTGTGTCCCTTCTGAGTACCGCAGGCAGTCTGGGAGACAGTTTTGATATCAGGCCATTTTGATGGTTTATAGAGCAGCTGAATGGGAAATCCTGGCCTTGGGCTCGCCATAGGTCCAATAGAAAGCCCAACTAAGACCTAGGTGTCCTTCCCCATTCTGGAACTCACTAGCTTGGTGACTTCATCTTCCCAGGTAGAAACTGATGAGGGGCTTGGAAGAGACTTTCTAGCTTCCATACTTCTTGCCAAGGAGACTGTCAGATTTTTATGCATAGAATTTCTGCCAGTTTAGCACCTGTTTCTTCATTGCATCCTGTGGAGCTAAAAACATTCTCTCTTATCCCATGATAAAAGTAAAGCCTCATTGATTTTTTTCTTTTTTTTTTTTTTAACTTAGAAAGTAGCCAGAAGGGGATTTAATGCGTCATCTTTGCTACATAAAAGACAGCTGGGTTTTCTTAACAACACCAGTTATTCCCGGTAAGACAATGCCTCATCGTTACGTTTTCTTCATAACTGTTTTTCCCTTTCCTTTCTTATTTCCGTGGTCCAAGGAGACAGTTGGGATAGGATGTGTTCTGAGGATGCCTCACAGTTGAGGGGCTCCAGCCCACTGTCTGCCTTCTGCAGCTGAGAGCATGATTCTCCTCTAGGGGAGAGAGGGAGACTCCCGCAGGAGGCCGGGAGAAGGGAAATGAAATGACTGAAGGTGTTTACCCTGTCTTACTCACAAACCAGTTTTAGTTCCGTAGAAGGTCCCACAAATTCATTCCCATGAGATTTCTGCCTCCTCCTCTTCCCCATTCTAATGAATTATCCAAAAATGAAACATTAAATGGATAGGTGTGTATACAAATGTTATCTAAGTACTTGGGGTGTCTGACATAATTAAAATTCAAACTGTGAGATAGGTTGGTATTTTCTCCCAGTTTCCAGAAAAGGAGACTGAGGTTCAGAAGAGAGATGTGATTGGCCCAAAGTATAGCCAGAAAAGCAGGGTCTGTCTGGCTGCAGTGTCTGAGTTCCAGGCCCCTTGCATGCGGAAGGTGAAGAAACAAGTCTGAGGTGGCCTACAGGCACACAGCTCTCTCACTTTGGAGCAGTGCCCCCTTCGAGCCATGCAAGAGGTGCCAGACTGGGCAGGCAAGGCATGGCCTCTCCTGTATTCACTCCTTCTGAGAGGGAAAAAGGAGTTCTGGTGTTGCAGTGGTTAAAACATTTGACTGCTAACCAAAAGGTTGGCAGTTCAAACCCGGAAGCTACTTTGTGGGAGAAAGATGAGGTAGTTTGTTTCCATAAATATTTAGTGACTTGGAAACCCTATGGAGCAGTTCTGCTCTGTCCTAAAAGGGTCACTATGAGTTGGAATCAGCTTGATGGCAGTGGTTTGGTTTTTGTTCCTGTTTGTTTCCTGAAGGAAAGAGTTAGAGTCTGGTCATAAAGATCTGTTCTTCATCTGAAACCTGCTGAGTAACTGACAGGTAGAAGAGGGAAGGGGCAGTAAGCGGGGCAGCCTCACCCCGGGCTCTTCTCTTTAGTCAGGTGTCCTTTAGCACGTGTTTGATCTCTCCAGGCCTTTCTCTCTTCACCTCAAGAGAAAGTGTTGTATCACATGATCTAAAAACCAATCCCTTCTAGTTCTGACTTTCTTCAGTTTCATGGACAGGTCACCCGTTTTTTTGGTTTTCGTTTTCCTAAGAGTTCCGTGATAAAACCAAAATTCAGATTAGTTGGGATCTTGCTAAGTTCTGTTGCTGGAAGGTCATATGGAGAACGGCAGCTAGGAGAAGTGGGCTTACGTTCTGCCCTTTCCCACCCCCCGAGTCTTTCTCATGGCTGTCTTGGCATAGAGTCTGTGCCCTGTCTGTCCCCCGTCTCCCCTGCAGTCTAGCCCACGAGCTGCGAGTGAGCTGCATGCAGAAGAGAAAGGTCTGCATCCAGAGCTCGGATCCTTCTGCTTTGGCAAGTGACCAATTTAACCTCATACTGGTGAGTAGACGGGAGATGCTTGTGGCTGGGAGGGGCATGGCAGCCGTCCTCAGGACACTTTCCGGCTTAGTGTTAGCTTTTGTCATGCCTGGCTTTGTAGAAGCTGACTGCCATAAAGCAGGAGGTGCTGTCTTGGTTTTGTGCTTTTAACAAGCGCCTGCTGGCTACCTGGTGGCAGACACCAAGCTGGTAGGGCAGGCTGTGCTGTGACCATTGTCACTTTTCCCCCTTCAGCTGTCATTTTGCATCAGAGCCTGGGCCCAGTCACACATTGGCTGAAAAGGACTTCAGAGTACCTTTCGCTTGGATGTGCTGGGTACACAGCTGGAAGGGTACCCAGGAGACCAGCGTGCTTCTGATCCTTCTAAACTGAGGCAGGGTTTGGTGGCCAAAGCTGAAGCTGCATTGTGCCTTTGGTAGCAACAGCCTGTGTGGCATGTGCCTGCAGGCCTGTGTCTGTCCCTGGGCCAGCACATCCAGCACACCTTATCACTTCATTTGCAGGGAATAGAAAGTCTTTCTGTGCCTTTGATTAGACCCAGGGTGGGAGCCAACAGCCAAACTCACAAGCCCAGTGGCAAGGAAAATGTTGGCCAAGAGCTAGAGGATCTCCTGTAATCAAAAGGTGCCAGATGTCTCAGCACAACTAGGAATACCATGGACCACTGAAAGCATGGCCTATCAGGCAAGCCCTGTCCTTCCTGGAGGCCAATGGAAAGCCAGGGAGTGGAAGAGAAGACACAAACACAAAGAGCCTGGGTTCAGTGTCTGATGGAAGGACTGGAGGCTGAAGCTACAGAGTTGACCTTTGAGGTTAATGCTGAGTCTTCTTGTTCTGGAGACTTCCACAGCAGGGTCCCTCCAAAGCAGGGTACTGGGGGACAGAACTCATATTCTGTCCTCTGGCTGCTATGCTGTGTGTTTGGGGTACCATTTTATCTGAATCAATAGAATATTTTCTTGTGGTGGGCTTGCCTCAGGAGCTCCCCTGGGTTCTTCAGTAGCCCAGGTGGGGACTATGGAGGGTGTGGACTCTGGAGTCTGGTGGTGCACAGGTTCCTTGTTCTGAGCGTGAGCTTCCTGGTCCTCGTGCTTTGTAGGGTGATTCCGTTGTATCGCCTCACACAGTCTGTGCATGCTAGCTTCTGAACACAAGGGCTCTTTGGTAGTTTTCCTGTCCCAAAAGTTATAGGTGACTCTGGCAGTCTGGTGTGAACCAGAGGGCTTGGAAGGGCAGTTTGCCACTCAGCAATCCAATTTTTCAGATCTGATTCTAGTCACTTTTGATGATTCTCCCAAGAACACAGCTGTTCTTCTGAGTGAACTTGCAAAGTCAATGCCATGTCACCAACATCCCAGCCTAGCTCGTTGTATACACACACGATGTATATGAGTTTGTGTGTGTATTTATCAGTATATACAAAACACAAATATTTAGAGGTTTTACTTTGAAGTAATTATTAACCACACTATTATTTTAAATGAATAAAAAAAATCGTAAAAATAGCCCACATTCCAATGTAGTCTTTTTTATCATGCTTTTTCCTTTTTGCCGAACCTTTTTTCCCCTTGGTGGTAACATGTTGTTGTTGTGTGCTGTCAAGTCGGACCTGACTCATAGCGACCCCTCCTTGGGTTTCCAAGGCAGTATCACTACAGAAGTAGATTGCCCAATCTTCCTTCCGAGGAGTGGCTGGTGGGTTTGAACTGCCAGCCTTCTGGTTAGCAGTCAAGTGCCTTAGGCACTATGCTACCAGAGCTCCTGGTGGTAACACAGTGCCTGTGTTATGTATATACAGTTCAGTATCCTACTTTCATCCTTTGACTAGCGCCCCCCACATTGCCGCATGGCTTTCATGATAGTCACGTAGTATGTCGCCACGTAGCTACCCCTCATTCATCTGAACAGTTCCTCTGAGTGGACATTTGGACTCTTCTAAACCATGCAGAACGCAGACTTCCTAACCAGGCCCCCTCACTTCAGTTCTTATCCCTGCTGCTGAGTTGTTAGACCAGACAGCTGTTAGCTTTGTCCAGAGATAGCCACGTAGCCATTTCCAGAGTAGGTTGAAATTTAAGCCATCTCCACCCTCCCTCACTGACAAGCACCCTGGTGAAAGTGCACAGGGCATCTGGGCCCGGAGAGGCATGCAGTTGGTCAGAAGGTCTTAGGTAGCCTGCCGGCCTCAGCCTTCAAGGTCATCTGCTGTCCACTTTGCTTCTCTAGGCGAATACCAACAAGGACCAGGTCTTCACAGTCATCGATGTCAAAGGTGGTGGCTCCAAGTACAGCATCATCAACCTCAGCCATCTGCGGATCCCGTCACCCACTGTGAGAATGTATGAAAACCTATACTTCACCAACCGGAAGGTACACTCACCCACCCCTTTAGCCTGTCAGCCCACTCTGCGTTGGGGTCCTGGGCGCTCCAGTGCAAGAAATGGCTTTCCAGATCCAGAGGAAAGGAGAGAGCTATGTGAAGATGGCCAGGCATAGTTGCCTCATTTCCCCAAGAGTCAAATTGAAATCTAGTTACCGAGAATCCATGGTGGAAGCAAAGAGCCTCAAGAGTTTCTCGTCTTGGGAGAGGCGATGAGCGTGTGTGGTGGGAGGTAGGCTTGAAGCAGTGCTGCTCTACCTGGTTGTGAGGCCCTTCCCTCCAGGATAATCATGAGGTGATCCAAATGAGCCCCTGCCAGGGCACAGAGGTCTGGGATGTTCTGACCATAAGGGTTCTCCTCTCAGCTCCAGGAGAATGCCTCAGTCAGCCAGTCTGCACTGGACACTGTGGCTGACACTGAGGTCTAGACAAATACAAGGAGCTTGCCATCTGGGGGCCACCTTTAAATTGCAGGGAGGTAATGGATGCATCTGTGACTTTCTGTTCAGTCTGGACATAAGCTACAAGATGGGTACAGGTTGAAAGTGGTTTGGGGTGAAATAAGATCTAGTTCCCCGTTTGCAGAGTTAGGTTTGGCCCCCTGTTGTTGTAGAGAGTTCAGCCCTGCCCAAGAGGGTATACCAGACATCTCACTGTGGCCCATGCTGATGAGGAAGGACTGAAGCCTGGAGATTACTCCTTCCTCTCCGTCCCCTTCAAGGCCCTAGATGGCAGGGCACAGAAGTCCCTTGTTCTCAGAATGCTCGTTGAGCTCATTTTAGACATGCAAGATCTGTAGAAAGAAGTCACACGTGTACATCCCCAGAAATTATTCCCAAAACAGTATTGTTCTTTTTTTCTCTGTGATTTGCCAGTCAAACCAGTCATCTGTCTGCCATGTGCTTCCTCCCCAGGTGAATTCTGTGTGCTGGGCCTCACTGAATCACTTGGATTCCCATATTCTGTATCTTTTGGTGGGTGAAGAGGTTTGGTAAACAGGCACACCCTGCTAGGGACCTGGGCATTCTGGGGGTTTGTGAGATGGCACAAGTGTCTGAGGGGCCAGAGGGCTGAACCATTCTGCTCCAGGACAGAGCAGCCCACCAGAGTAGGCACCAAGACTTCCCGCAGAACACAGAGAAGTCGTCGAGGTCCCCGTGATGGCTGTTTCTCAGGAGTGGCATTGTCAGTGTGCCAGGCGCTGCTCTGAGAGCTTCATGTGTAAGTGGACCAGGATCAGAACCCTGGCAGGCCCGCCCCTGAGCCTGCCCACCTCATCACTGTGTCATGCAGCATCAGCCTCGAATCACCAGACAGATCAAGCATCTGTTCCAGACAGAGGACGCTGCAGCAGAAAGGACTTAAAGCCATGGGAAGGAACAACAAATGCTGCTGGGGCCGAGTGGGAGAAGCCGAGAGCAGCAGGGCTAGTGGTCTGGAGGTGGAGAGGGGACCTTCCCACAGAAGGCTGAGGTCAAGGACCAAAGAAAAGGTTCCTTTGGCCTGGGCCTGAGTGTGTGGGCCCTGGGCTGGGGGACCTTCTTGAGAGTGCTCTCGATTTCTAGCTTGTGCCTCTCCAGAGGGCGACCAAGGGCTCTCCTGCTAGTTGCCCAGCAGTGCAGCGTCAGGGTGGCTACACCTTCCCCTGGGAGTCTTGGGGGTTCTTGATGTTGCACAAGACAACTGCCCATCATATGCTTCAAGGATATTGTTTGACCCAACATCAAAGCCACATGTTAATGAGCCTACCCTTGATTCCATTCCCACAGTAAATGGGTTCTTGATGTCATGTGACTACTCATTGCAGATATCATGAGTTGGCTTGAGGTTAGCATTAGATAGTATCTGTGAACACTTCGCACAGTGCCTAGCATATCATAGGCCCTCCACAAATTATAGCTGAACCAGAACTTGTTTTTTCTGTTTCATGTGTGTATCTCAAATGGGTTTAGAGCCATTAGATAAAGACCTGATACCAAGTCTTGTAGGACAAACACAAAACACTGTGTGTTCTGTAAATCAATGTGGCTGTGGCTTTTGTTTGGTGGGGTCTGTGAGTAATGGAGCTACCTGTACTGGGATGTCTAACCAGAGGAGAGAAGAGGCCAGGCTTAAGAGAAAGAAAACAAGACCTTCACTTTCACTTCTGTTCTTAAAACAGCAAGGTATGTTCTTGTGTTTCTTTAAGGAGATGATAAAAACCTGCATAATTAGGTTTCAAAGTATGGTCTATTGTAACTTAATCAGCTTGCCCTCTGGTGGTTATTTCAAGTAATCTTCAGGCTTTTGTGCACTTACTGTTTCTACAGAAGTTCACAGAACTATTGCCCTTCACAAAAAATGACACCTTGTTCAGACTTGTGCTCTGCATCCCAGCCCCATCCCCCAAGAGTGGTGGGATGTTATACTGAGTGCATTATACTCACTCTTACTGAGCTCTTGGTTAACCTTGGCCTGTTAGGGATTAAAACTATGGAATTCATCCTGTAAGTACTATACAGTTTGAATATAACCTGAGTTTCAATCATAGTAACCAAAAGTACACATGAGTAAGGATGTTCTCTCATCTTCACTCTTCAGACAGAGGCAAAACACGTTTACTTAGGAAGGAACTGGGCTGCTGTCTGATGAGCTGTGTGGTACAGAACTTACCATCCAAAGCAACGTGAGAGATTGTGAGTTCTCTACAATGGCTTTTCAGATGTTTACATTTTCCAATGAAGTATATGTGCATTTATTCAACCAACATCTGCCAAGCACATCCAATCCCTGTGCAAGGTGCTAGAGATAGCAGATCAACAGGCAATTAGTCAACACAGTCATACCTATGAGGGCAGCTGAATACAAGAGGGATGACGGGAGTGGGACAGCCTTCTTGGAGGTGACGTCCACATAGGAAGGAGGGACCAGTCAGAGAGGACATGGCTTGGTGTCCATGGTGTCTGGCTGGGTAGGGCCTTGCAGGACTGATTCCTCAGGGATGGTCCTGGAGGATTGCAACCATGCAATTGTTTTTCAGGATTTCTGTGGTAGCCATGTGGAGGCATAGAGCTCTCACGGCGGGCTGCTGCAGGGGTCTCAGAGGGCAGTGATGAGGGCTTGAATGAATGCCGCAGGAAGCCCAAGTCTGAAAGAGGTTTGGGATTTGGCCGGTGAAGCATGTTGGTGGAAGGAGTCCAAGGATAAAACTGGGAGGCAACAGTGTTCTATGGTGGGGTAAGGAAGAGAAACCCATTCTCTCTTCCATGGAGCCTGAGAAGGGACCTTTAGAGCAATGGAAGGAAAGCTAGGAAAGAGCAGTGGTGTGGAGGCCAAGAAGTGGGGAGGATATGGTTAAAAATTGTGCCACTGGTCAGGGCTGAGAAGTTTTCATCCAATTTAGAAACCAGCAGCTCACAGAGACCTTGGTGGGAACATTTCACTGGCAAGGTCAGAGGTGGGTTCAAAGAGACTGGGAATAAGCATAGGCTCCTCTTGGGAAGATTGGCTGTGAAGGGAAAGGGAGGGAAACCAAGTCGATCAGAAGAAGACAGACAACCGAACAGAAAAATGGCAAAGGATATAAAGAGCAATTCAAAGAATAAGAAATCCAATGGCTATAATCATCAATTACCAATATACCACTAACGGGAATGCAAGTGAAACTAACACTGACATACCATCTTCCAGCCATTCAGATAAGCAAACATTTTAAAGGCTAACAAGTGTGGGCACATGGGGCACCTGAGGAAATCTGCTGGTGTGAGTAAATTGGTACAGCCACGTTGGAGGGGAATTTGGCCATTGTTAGTAGAGGTGAAGATGCAAGTACTCCACTCTAGGTGTAGATGGTAACTCATTTCTTTCAAAGTGCAGTCATAACCCACCAGTGGGACATTAAATCAATTTATTGAGTGGCATTTTTTAATGATATAGACTAGAAAATATCAGTTTCATCATTAGTAAAGGTAAACATGAAACTCTTGCTTCAGGTATTTGTGGGTATATACTCAGTTGTGTAAAATGAAACTCTTACCCTGGGTTTTAGAAGCACTGCCTTAGAGATGCTCCCACACCTGGGAGGGGGGAAGTGAGAGAGGTGGCTCATCAAACCAAAAAACCAAACCAAACTCACTGCCGTCAAGTCGGTCCCTACTCATAGCAACCCCTCCTTGGGTTTCCAAGGGGGTGTCTCTACAGAAGTAGATTGCCCAATCTTCCTTCCAAGGAGTGGCTGGTAGGTTTGAACCACCAGCCTTCTGGTTAGCAGTCAAATGCCTTTGGTAGAGCAAAAACCAACAACGACCTGAGTGCCCACCAGCAGGGGGCAGGATCACTCAGGAGTGGTGTAGCTATACAAAGGAAGACTGGTAAACTGGAGCTACCCTACAACACAGGAGCTCTGATAGCATAGTGGCTAAGTCACTTGCCTGCTAACCAGAAGGCTGACGGTTCAAACCCACCAGCCACTCCTCGGAAGGAAGGTTGGGCAGTCCTACTTCCGTAGTGATACTGCCTCGGAAAGGCATATGACTATGAGTCGGGGCCGACTCGACGGCAAACAACAACAACAACCCTACAACACACATAAACCTGGGGGAGGACGGAGCTGGCTAGAACAGTTGTCAGACAGAGCATGCCATTTATTTGTGTTTTAAAAACAAACAGTGCTTTATGTTTATGGACAACATGTAAAGTATTATAGATGACCTAGAAGAACTCATGCCAGTTTTAGAATAGTGATTTTCTCTGAGTGGGGTAGAAGGGGGAATTGGATTGGGGAGGGTAAAACAGGGCATTTCAACATTATCTGTGGTATTTTTTCACTTTAAAAAATATCTGAAGCTGTCTGTATTTGGAAAAATGTCAACGCGTTAAATCTGGGTGATGGGTGTTACTCTCTGCCCCACTTTGTGTGTCTGTGTGATTTTCTGAAGGGTATTCATGCCTGTCCTTCCTGCCCCCCGAGGAGACTCTTGTGCCTTACTGTCCTTAACAGCTTTTTCCAGGCTGTGCCGCATGGGAATCGCAAACACTCCAGGCTGCGCCACTCTGCTCCCAGCTACACTGTTCGCCCATAGTCACCCAGGTACAAGGCCCTTTTCCTTTGAGTAAGCAGGTGTTGGCCCTTGTGCCTCCCAGGAGCTGCAGCCCACAACATGAGCTTTGTAGGGATGGCTTGGAGAGGAATGTGAGGACGACAGGCTGAATGAGCCCAGGTCAGAGTTTGCGGGGTGGAGGGCAGTCTGTAGAAGCAATGGCGCGAAAGCTTCTTAAGTCTGGTGCCAGGATTAGTGCGGGAAGCATGTACACCCTTACTGTGTCCTCTCCTTTCTACCCCTTTTGGGTCATTTCAGCAACCAGAGCAGTGTTCAGGTATGTCCATCAAAATGTGAGAGATGAAAACATTCTTCAGGGCTGCCTGTATGGATCCTTTCAGAGAGCATCTATTAAGCTCCTACTGTACAGCAAGGAGCTCTGGTGGCGTAGTGGAAAGGCATGTGGCTGCTAACTAGAAAGTCAGCAGTGCCTAATCCACCAGCTGCCCTGAGGAACGAAGATGGGGTGATCTATTTCCATAAAGATTTACCACCTTGGAAACCCAAAGGGGGTTGCTAAGAGGCAGAATCGACTCGATGCCAGTGAGTTTGTTTTTTGTTTTTTTTTTTGGTTCAGCAGGCACTCTCAGGGGTACTTAGATTCTGTCTGGCTGAAGGCAACTGGACATCTCTCCTTCCTGGCAGCATTCAGAATCTTAAGTTTTCAGTCTTCCAGAGAATTTAATGAAACAAGGGCAAGCCTTTAAGAGTGCAGGCTTCGGGCAAACCTGGCACAAACCCCAGCCCTGCCCCTCACTGCCTCTGTGAACTGAAGATAACACCCACCCCATCAGTTTACGTGGGAGATTAAATGAGGCAAGCCACACTCAGCCCAGTGCCTGCATTTCATCTTACCAATCACTCACGAGGGGAGAGATTATTGCCACCATTTTACAAATGAGGAAACTGAGGCAAAGCAAGGTTCAGAATTTGCCTCATGAAACTGATGTATATGGTGTTAAAAGTTAGGATGGTGATTACCTTTGGGTAGGGATGGGGTAGTAATTGGGAAGGGGGCATGAGAAAGGCTTCTGGGTGCTGGAATGTTCTATTTCTTAATCTGGTGTGGCTACATGGCTATTTTTACTTTGTGATAATTCACTAACTGTAACTTAAGATTTGTAGTTATATATATCAATTTTAAAAGTTTAATTTTGTTTTTCTTTCCTTGAGACACAACTAGAAGGTAGTGGAGATGGGCTGACCATCTTGTTTTTAGTACCATACTGCCTCCTGCTACTGATAATACTGTTGACAGTACTGGGAAGAGAGGACAGCTGCAGGCGTTCCCTTTCCAGTAACCACTTTGGGTCAGGTGCTCTGGCTGAGTGTCTCAACCCAGAATGCAACCAGAGTAGAGAACCTTCTGGTTGGATCCCTGTGTAGCAACTAGGCCTCCCTCTTTCATGGGCATCCAAAAGGATTAGGGAGTCGTTTTGTGAATATGTCTGGGCTTGTAGAGGTTTCCCAGATCGGATGGTCAGTGGCCTGGCAGCACAGAGCCACACTTCATCTTCTCTGTGCCCTTCAGTGGTAAGAGACCAGCCTGGCGTGCTCTGCAGTTTCCGGATTCCCACTGCCTGGTCCTGTGCGTGGTCCCTGAATATCCAAGCAAGTAACTGCTTTAGCACAGGTGAGCGTGGCTGCCTCCCCCAGTGCCCAGAGTGAAGGACCACAACAGACCTTAAGCCCCACTGCCCAGCAGTCCCACTCTACAGACTGCAGGTAACACTGGTGTCACTAGCTCATCTCTGTCTCCACCAGGCTTGTCTCGGCAGGTCCTGCTGACCAACGTGGTGACAGGACACCGGCAGTTATTCAGGACCAGCAGCGATGTCCTGGCCCAGCAGTTTGCTGTCTTGGTGGGTTGAAATTGGAAGGTGCTTACATAAAGTTCCCCAAGAGTAGAAATTTTGCTGGATAGAAATTGGATCCCTGCATGGCATCCGAAAGGATTAGTGGGTTACCTTGTGAATGTGTCTGGGCTGAATGAAAGTTAGCTGTTCCAAAAATGCTAGCTAAGCTGGGTTTAAATAACTTGCTGTTTAAATGAATTTTTAGCAATTCTTGAGTCCTTGGATTGGCCAGCAGGACAAATAATGGGAAAAAATACACAAATTAAGTCCCAAGGCATAGCATTTACTGGTTTAATCCACAGCTTTCAAGTTGCTGCTTTCATAAAGTTAAAAATCAAAATTCTAGCCATTGTTGTATTTGAAAGACTTGCCCATTAGAATATGTCATCTTTCTTGGAAAGTGTGGAAATATTCCTTATAAAGGAGGGAGTCTGCTGACCCGTCTTGGGCAATGGGCACGGGTTTCCTTCAGGCATTCCCGTCATTTCTCCTCTCTTTGGGACACCACATCTTTACCTGGGTCTCTCATCTTTCCTACTCCATCTCCATCACCTCAGCTTCTCACAAAGGACTTGGCTGGCTGGGGGGCTGCTGTTAGAGACCTAAGCTGTCAGTGGGGCAGCTCCTGGGACACGAATGCTCCCCACAAGGACACATTGGGACTCATCTTCTCTTCCCATTCTATTGAGACCCAAACACTAACTCATCTCCACCTGCACCTTCTGATGGGCTGGGATAGGGGAAGTAAGGAGTTATGTGGGCATACCCCACCTTGGATCAGTAGTAATAGCTGGGTACTGAACAGTCCCTCTTTTCACAGGCCCCTTTGCTATTTAATGGCTGTCGTTCCGGGGAGATCTTTGCCATTGATCTGCGTTCTCAAAGTCGAGGCAAGGGTTGGGAGACCATGCATCTGTCCCATGATTCAGCGGTGACCTCTGTGCAGATCCTCCAACATGAGAGATGCCTGATGGCATCTGACATGTCTGGAAAGGTAAGAGTAGCACCTAGGGTTACAGGAATGTTTGGACCAGCCTTCTGCCAGGTGAAGGGGTGATTAGAAGGGACTCTTATATCAAGAAGCCAGGCCAGAAAAGGGAGTGGGAGACCAGGCACGTTAAATACTGTTCAGGAGCTATGTTGCCCATGATGAAACAGGGCAGGCCTAATCTGGCCAGGGAGAAATGAAAAGAGTTCTTTGGTTATAAGCTTTTAAAGGATTGTAGGGCTCAGGAATCTGAGATTAAGGTCTCAGAGACCTTGGAGACCACCCTGCCCTCCCTGGCTTCTGCACCTTGGGTTCACCATGTACCTGCTGGGCCCTCCCTAACAACCCCTTGTGTTTTTACCCCAGATCAAGCTATGGGACCTGAGGACCACTAAATGTTTAAGGCAGTTTGAAGGTCATGTGAATGAGTACGCCTACCTGCCCCTGCATGTGCACGAGGAAGAAGGACTCGTGATGGCAGGTACCTGGGGAAGGGAAAATTCTATCCCATCAGATACTGTCCCTAAGGGCCCCTAGCACCTTAAACAGCAGAAGCTGCAGGAAGAGAGGCAGACGTAAGCTGCTCAGAAATAGAATGGAACAAAGGCAAATGTCAACGGTTGGGAACAAGGTACCAGAAGAAAAATGGATTGGATATAAGGGAACAGCGGTTTGAACATCCACATGCCAGTGGGCAAACATCACCTCAGAAGCTGGCAAGAGCTGGGTGCAATAGAACAGGAGCTGTGGGGCAGGGCTTGGGTTTAAGTCTATTCCCCAGGCCAGCAATCACTGGGACCCTTACCACGCAGTTGTCCTGTCTGAAAACACGGGCTTCCTGATTTTCTACTTGCATTTCCACTAGAGGGTGCTGAGAAAGGAAATTAAGATCATTGTAACTGTTTCCTGGCCCCTCAGATGAACACCGTCTCTGCGGATCCGTGGCCTATAGAACAGGGGCAGAGCTTTCTAGCCACTAAACCCCCTTGAAGGGAGTTAGTTACAAGTTGATTGCACATTATGCTTCTGGGCTATAGTATATTTTAATATGAAAAATCAATGTTTTTAACTGGGAAAGAATATTGGCGATTGTGCTCTCAGTTTTCATGAATCCTCAAATTTGCTAATACAGTGTACCACAGAATGTCCTTATCCCCCATGAAACTCTTTAATGGTGGCTAAGAAGCATCACTTTGTTAGAACTCTTAAGACTATTTCCATTAAGGTTTCATTTCAAAAGAACTTTTGTGTGCTAGAGAATAGAGAAGCACTAAGCCTTGAGAGGCCACTGTGGGGTGGTCAGCTAGCTGCAGTAAAACTCACTGCACAGCCTGAAGTCATCCCTGTCAAGGGAGCCCCTACTACAGTGTTAATAGTCTTAGGAGTCAACTGATCACAACTATTCATGTGAAATCTGTGGATGCCAGTGGTATGCCTTCTTATCTGCAGTCACATGTGTGTGTCTGGGCTACCATAACTAATGGGTGTTGTGTGTTACATTCCCTAAAGACTAACTGGTCTTATGAACTGAACCATGAACCACAGAGAGCCCTGGGAGCTGTCCCTTGATTTTCCTTGAACATGTGTCTGGTTTTACAGTGGGTATAAATGAAGAGGTCTGGTTACCTCCTGAAGTCAGCTGCATAGCATCTAGACCAGGTGGACTAAACTCTCTTGACTAGCCCTTGACACCAAGAGACGCAGAATCCTTAACCCGTTAACCAGGACAACTACTGAGCCACCCAAGGTGACCACAGCAGCCTGTGTGTCTTACAACTTTGAATTCCTGTAACTGGTTATGGTTCTAGAGCACCAGACACATCTTAGGAATAGATATAACTTCCACCTAGGTGTTTTTTATTTTGGTTCTTTTGCATTCTCTAACCTGCCACATCTTTTCCATGTAGTGGGCCAAGACTGCTACACGAGAATCTGGAGCCTCCATGATGCCCACCTGCTCAGAACCATACCCTCCCCCTACCCGGCCTCCAAGGAGGACATCCCCAGCGTGGCCTTCTCTTCTCGGCTCGGGGGCTTCCAGGGAGGGTCAGGGCTGCTCATGGCTGTCAGGCAGGACCTCTATTATTTCTCCTACAACTGATTCTGCTGGGGGCAGCCTGGACAATGTGGGTTTGACTTACAAAGGTAAAGAACAGCCATTGCTGTTCTATTTTAAGCAATTTTAAATGGGTGCTCAGTGTACACAGATGCTAGCCATCAGCTGCAGGGGTGATGTTAAGTGTTTTACATGGAGACACTTCAGTAAAGTTATTTTCATTAAATAGTGGGCTTGAGAGAGCCTGAAAGTCCTTTTCATAAAAGGTTCCTATTTCTTATTCTTGTTGAATTCCTTAGAATAGCCTCCCCATACATTTTTTAAACAAAAAGACTTTTTTGGGGTGGAAAGTAAAATAACTATTTGCCTCTTTTTCACCAAAGTTGTTTTGAAAAGCCTAAAGATGAGACTGGCTGAGATGTGTTAGGTTAGTCCCCGGAAGAAAGACACCTGGATAGAACAGGGAGCAGAAAGTCCTTTCTCCGAGGCCCTGCAGGACAGACTTAGGGATGGAGTTTGGAATCATTAAGCTTGACCTTCCTGAATAAGCTCACTCAGTATCAACAGCAAAGATCACTGGGATTCTCCTTTTAGTATCATTCTAGGATTGGAAAGAAAGATGCATCTTTTTAAATGCTAGCAGGTTTTAAACAGGCCTTAGCATGCATTTGTTGAAGCACCTTCTAGAATGTTAGGTACAACAGCTCCTCTTTCTGTTATGGCAACGTCAAAGTCAGATTCAAGGGCCTAGTCTCAAAGCCAGCTGTGACTTTTTGTTATCTAGGCAAAACGGTTTGTGCAATGTTCATACAAAGTGCTAAATGAGCCCATTTTTCTATCAAAACAATAAACTAGAATCATGTTGTGGTGTGTTTGTTGCTTTGGTTAATGATTTAGGAGATCACGGAGGTTGGGCCATTTCCAGCAGCAGAGCAGCTACAGGAATGTCTACTCAAAGCTGGGTGACAGATTGGACACCATCTTTCCTAGCTGTGCTGCATGTTCCCGTTTGTCCGTCCCTGTCCACTTTCCATCCTTCCCTACCCTGCTCTGTGCCTCACGAGGCTCAGCCACCCAGGACTCAGCAGTGGGCTCTCTGGCCAAGCTGCCAGGGGAGTTCAGCCAGTGGGAAGCACAGGCAGGAAGAGAATGCAGTGGATTCTGAGTTCCCTGGTGTCTTTCCTATCGGGCTGCATAGCTGCGTCCTTTGACCTAAGGCCACAGTTTTCTGTCGGAACAGCTTTCTCTAGGTTCTAACCTGTTCTCCCCATTTGTTCCATCAGACAGACCTACAGCTGGTAACTGCACCTCGCTGGTGTTAGCTCTGGGATGCTTCACCAGTTAAAGGCTCTATTCAGTTACAGACTACTATTATGGGTTCAATTTTCTCCCTGAATATGCTTGTTCTGAAATTGAAAATGCACGGTGTGGTTGCAAAATTGCCATTAAATTGGAATTTAACAATTGGAAGCTTAATTCTGGTGTTACAGGCTAGACTAGCCTGTTCAATCTCTAACCCAGCTTTGCAAAGTTGTGCAGCTTTGGTGCTATCAAGTCGACTTCAACTCATAGCAACCCATGTGACAGAACAGAACTGCCCAATAGGGTTTTCTAGGCTGCACTCTTTATGGGAGCAGATTTCCAGGTCTTTCTGCCATGAAGCCACTGGGTAGGTTCAAACCACCAACCTTTCAGTTAGCAGTCAAGCACTTAACTGTTGTGCCACTAGCAGGTAGCTTGATTTAAGCTTTCCTCTAAAGGAAAAAATACTGACCTTATCTGGAAATGCAAAAGAATCCATAGCCCATGCAGGGGAAGGAAAAGGGGAGTGCAGTGCCAAGGGCAGGCAGGTTGAAGGTGAAGACGACAGGCTCCCCTTGCTGTGGAGCCAGCCAGGCCTGCTTCACATCTCATCTGCCTGGGCTTTGGAACCGCCAAGCTAGTGTCTTCATCCGTAAAACTTGAACACCAGTACTTACCTACCTTCAGTGTGACTATGTGGATTAGTCATCACCATATAAAACTCCTAGCACAGTCCCTGGCATATAAAAAACCAAATCCACTGCCATCAAACTGAATCTGACTCATAGTGAACCCCATAGGGTTTCCAAGGCTATACATCTTTATGGAAGTAGATTCCTTCATCTTCTTCCCACAGAGCAGCTGGTGGGTTTGAACTGCCAACCTTCTGGTTAGCAGCCAAATGCTTTACCCACCAGAGCTCCTTCAAGCATGTACCAGGCATCTAAATAGTGGTTCGTTCTTCCAGTTCTCAAGTAAGTCAAACTAACAGAGTAAAACCCATGGGATATGCTGAGGATCCCACTAGGTCCCACTGCTTAGGAAACACTTAGCTCTCAAGCTGTAATCTCTACTGCTAGACTCTCAGGGACATGTTTGACAAACACATAGGAGGAAGCCTACAAGCTAGCCTTTAAACCACAAAGTTTAAAGCCTTTATATAGCACGTACACAGACACACAAAGGTGGCACTAATCTAGGCTACAGTCTTTATGGGAACAGATGTCAGGACAGTGATTACTCCGGGTGGGCGGAGGGACCAAGAGTTCCCGAGATCCAGTCATGTTCTTTCTGTCTCTTGATCTGGGTGCTGGGGTCTTAAAATCTCAAGAGCGGCCACCTAAGATGGAACAATTGGTCTCTCCTCATCCAGAGCAAAGAATGAAGAAAATCAAAGATGCAGGGAAACAGTTAGTACAAAGTACCATGGGAACCTCAGCCTGCATGACCCTGAGACCAGAAGAACTAGATGGTGCCCAGCTACCACTGCCAACAATTCAGAAAGGGGTCAAAATAGGCAATCCTGGATAGAAGGGCAGCATTTACATAGGGAGACAGCTCAGAGGGCAGGAATACATAGGAAAGAAGGACACAGGGAAAAGGTAACCACAGGGAGGAAGCGGAGATTACAACTGATGTCATGAAACAAAACTTATGAACCGTTGAATGGGAAATGAATTTGCTGTGTAAACTTTCACCCAAATCATAATTTAAAAAGAGGAAAAACAAGTCCTTATCATGTAGGGAGATGTTCCCAGTGAGGTACTGTCACCGTAAAGACACAAGTCTCACGTGGCTTCTGCTGTGAAAGCCACCAGCTATTTTCCCATCAACTAGGACGGAGTGAGCAGTTTACTGACGGAGTTAGAGGAGAACACACAGTCCACATTAAGCAGAAGATTCCTTTATGATGGCGAATTTGATAATACACAGTTCTGGAGTAGGGCCTCGGCCACTGGGCCACGGGGCAGGAAGGGAGCAGGACTGAGAAGGACCAACACATTCCAGGGCTCCCCACACACTTGATACCCACGCCAAAGCAACCGCCCGTGAACCTCCCAGGAGCTCAGCTCGCCCACCTAGTTCAATCAAGAACCGTGTTACTTGTAATTCTTCCTTTTTGGCCACTGAAGGCAAAATTCACCGTGACGACAGGATTTTAGCAGAGCAGTCTCTTTCCAGTCACGACAGATAAGGAGGTCCATCCAATCTCTTGCTGAGAAAAGTTCATTTGACTTCTCTTGCAAAAACTGAAGAGAGAAATTTTTTTCATGATCTGTTGAATTATGTATTTTTTTTTTTTTTTAAAAAAAAAAAAAGGTAACACTACAAGTCCATTCTGTGCTGTTTTCCTGGAAGATTTCTCACGATCACCCCTCCAGTAATACCTCAAGGGGTCATGTGTCTGGGAACAAAGAATTAAGACACTTTAAAATAAGAAAACCCTACTGTGACACTCAGAAGCAAATCGAGGGGGCTGGAGGGTAGCAGGGGCTGTAATTTAGAAGCAGGGTGCCCGCCTTTTAGGAAGGCCTCGTGGGAGATACACAGAAGTGGCAACAAGCAGGAGCCACTGCCGGAAAGGCCTGTGCCTTCGATGCTCTCCCCAGATACAGGGGACATCCCATCACCTGCATTTTGACTTTGAGGGATGAGGACCCTACCCCTCACCCTCCACCCACTTCAGTGACCTGCACGCTAGGTTGGGTGGTCTCTGACTTAAACAGATCTAGGCCAAGAATTGGGATATGACACCCCTGAGGGCTCCCACAGAGTTCCCCTCAGGCTGTTCTAAGCAGGAAGTACCTGGGAAGCTCACTTAGTACCAGGCAGCTGAGAGTCAGAAATGGAAAAGGCAAAGGAAGGAGAGGCTTGTAAGACTCAGAGAGCAGAAGCAGAAAGTGACTAGCAGTGCAGCAACTCTGGACCTGGCTCTGCTCTGTGGGAAGACTTGTAGCCACTACCAGCCTACCCCTGTGCTGGGCATGGGCTGTGGGAAGTCTTCACAGCCAGCGGCAGCCTGAATACACTTCAGGTGCCGTACATGTGGGTATATATATATTATTATAAACTGAAATAAATGCAACGGATTCAGGTTAATTCCCCTTTGCTGTAGGCTGCTCGGTTCCCCCACCGGGGGGGTTCATACATCCAGGCCAGCCACCAGGCTCACCCTGGCTCTGCCATCTGCTCACTCCCATGGAGGGAAAGTGGGCCCCAGATGAACAGCAGAGAGGGCATTCACCACGACAGGTGACCCAGAGGAGGGCCTACCCCAATGAGACTTCTGTTTCTAACCCTGAGAACCTAAGGAATTGTGAAGGACTTGGAGAGGGAGCTGGGGTTAAAGGTCACCCGGCTTTTTATTGCAGTTAAAGCAGACTCGGACGGGATGGTCCCAGCCACGAGAGGGGACAGCCCGGCGGTCATGGGAGCACTCGTCACAGAAGCCCTGTCCGCAGGCCCGGCAGTGGTGCTTGGAGAGCTTGATGCTGAACTCCTTCCGGCAGCTGTGGCAGTGCAGGATCTCGTGGTCAGGTACCCAGTATGCCGGCCTGGCTGCATCCTTTACCAGACCTGCAGCAGGGAACAAGTGACAGCAGCTGGCACACACAAGACGCAATGCCCTGGGTCCCAACTGGCAAGAGGCATGCTCAGATATTTCACTGTTTCTCCAACCCAACTGCGTAAGGAATCACTGAGGGAACTTTGAAAGAAATACACATGCCCAGCTTTCACCTCAGAATCATGAGACCAAACCAAAAAAACCAAAACCAAACTCACTGCCATCGAGTCAGATCCGACTCAGCAGCCCCTCCTTGGGTTTCCGAGGAGGTATCACTACGGAAGTAGATTGCCCAATCTTCCTTCTGAGGAGTGGCTGGTGGGTTTGAACAGCCAGGCTTCTGGTTAGCAATCCAATGCCTTAGGCACTACAACACCAGAGCTCCTAGAATCATCAGGGCTTATTTATTTATCTGCTAAGTTCTCCAGATGATCCTAAAGTACTGCTGCATTAAGAACCACTGGAGTAACTACTACCAAAGAATCCAAAGACTGGAGTCAGACATACCTTCATTCAAATCCCAGTTCCACTGAGCACAAGCTAATTAGCAGTTCTAGGATTAAGAGAAGTTACTTTTCAGGGCTTCAGCTCACTCCTCCTTAACCACCCAACTTCAAGAGCTCTTACGAGGATTACCAGAAATACCATCTGTAATGCACTGCCTGAGCCCTGACATCTGGTAAGTGTTCAGGAAGTGCTGTACTTGATGAGCAACAGTTGACAGGCTATCTGTGCCAAGGGCAGCCCTTTCCAGTTAGCCCTAAGGGCAGATACAGCCTGAGCTTCAAGCCTGGGCAAATCCATCTATTTCTACACTCTGGAGTCAAAAGCTCATCATCTATTCGTTTTATGAGCCACAGTGAACAAACTGGATCCAAGCAGTTGTCATCACCATTCACCCAGGAGTCCTCCACGTCTCCCCTACAAAGGACCAAACTATTCCAGGTCTGGCCAACCCTGCCTGGGCCCTCTGTGCACTCCCCCTCCCCACATCCTGGCTACAGGCACCAACGTTGCAAGATGAGGAGCATCTCGAGCTGAGTAGCTTTTCTAAATCCTAACTAACGCCTGGCTTGGGGGACAAAGATAGCCACAAATTCTTTGAACACTATTCCCATCAAGAAGTGGGGGAGTATCCCTTCCTTTGAATCCAGGCAGACTCGGTGACTGAAATAGACTAGAGTAAAAGTGACTCTCTGCCAGTTTTCAGCCCAGGTCTTAAAAGACTGACCACTCTTACACTTCCAGTCTCTTGGAACATTAGCTCTTGGAGCTGTGGACCACCATGTAAGTAGTCCAGCTGCCACAAGAAAGACCATGTGGGAAAGGCCCAGAGAATAATGGAGAGGGCGAGGGGGCTCTGCTGGGTCCACCCTTCCAGCCAACCCAACCAAGGCACCCAGGATGTAAGTGAGGCCAGCTTGAACCTTCAAGATCAGCTGTCATACTAACTTACCATGTAGCAACTGCAGGCAATTCCACTTAGACCACAATAAATTATTCCTTTCCCTGAATTACTCCATTCCATAACCTTTCCTGACTTCCAGAGACATGCTAAAATGGTTGGTTGAGCCCTTTCTATTTTCAGTGTATGTTACACAGTAAGAGCTGGTATAATGGATGGTCTCCAGGAATAAACACGAAACTAACTAAGGTATTCAGCAGAAACAAGTGCATAAGTTTTAAATGATTCCTTGTTGCCCATCTCAATTAAGGTCAACAAGCCACTGACACAGTGACAGCCCAGGGAATTCCAAAACCCATCATCCCACATACAAAATACCCAAGAACAGCACTGCCAGGCCCACCTAGTGGTATGTCAATGGCTGTCACCACAGCTCCCAGAGTGTTCTGCACAGCCTCGCCCACCTTCCGAGCAATCAGTGTTCCACCTTCATCGTCCTGTGCCTCGGCAACATCTGTAGACAAATGAGAAAGGAAAAGCCATTGCCCTTTAATCATTTCCCATTGAAAACAAAACCTCAAAGAGCAAGCAGCAGAGCACGTCTGGACCTTCTCCCAGGGTACTGATGTGCTGTCCTGCATGTGATCACAAGAGTATACGGGCTGTGGGTCAGATATGCCCAGACTGAAATTAGATGACATCTGTTAGTCTTTTCCCTGCAACCCACTAGAGCTATTTTATGAAAGTCCTGGAAGCCCTGAGCTAGAACCTTCTCCAGGAGAAGACTCAGTCTGAGCCACCTCTGGTGAACGCTGCTACCTTTCCAGAATTCAGATGCTATGTGGCCGTTTCCTTCCCTCAGAAGCACTTCTGTAGCTTTGAGTGCAGGACAAGTTTAAACCCCTTGAGAAAAAAGACCCACAGGACTCTTAAAAAGAGCTTAGAGCAAGGCTGGCCATAAACCAAGGGAGCAATTACTCCAACCAGGGTTGGGGAAACTGGGAGTCCAGTTCCAACACCCAGTGTGTCACCCACCCTTGCAACTCACAGGCCCCACGTTACCTAACTGGACATTCCTGGCATCATAGCAGTTGTCACACACACGCACAGGCGCAGGGCCCCAGCCCCGCTCAGGCACTGGCCGGGTCTTGGATGAACAGCTGTCACAGAAGCCTTCCCCACAGGCCCGGCAATGATGCTTTGTGTCATTATCTTTAAATGATGTTGCACACTTGTTGCAGCTCTGTTCCAACCCCAAAACAAAACAGAGGGAAGTTATCATGTATGTCTGCTCAGTTAAGAGTCAGCAAGACCCATGGGGAAAGACCATGGGACCACCATGGAATGCAGGACCCACCAAGCTTAACGGAGGGAACCCAAGACCTCCAAAATGTGCAATGCCCACACTGAAGCACAGCTGTGATTGTTATTTTTTTACTTCAAGTGCCCACATAGGCACCTCAAATCTATTTTCAAGGACTGGCTGAGTCACAGGGTTCCCAGAAAGGACTGTGCTAATTCTAGCTAGAACAGCAATGAAAATTCATTTTTTTTTTTTTTTTTTTTTTTACAACTTCTTGAAAGAGCCTTTGAGAAGCTGGAGTAACTCCCCTGAAGGAGTTACCAGTTGGAGGCTGGTATTTTAGTGCTGAGATTAGAAACTAAGGGAGGTAGGACTTAGCTCAATAAGGAGAAACACTTTCTTGTAATAAGAGTTATCCAAGAATGGAGAAGCAGCCTGGGAAGGAGTGAGTTTCTGTAAAAAGTGTTCAGGCCAAATCTGGGTGCTCCCTTGCTGGGGCTGCTGTGATTTCTGAACCAGGCCGAGGACGGACCTAAATGACCTCTAAAGGTCCCTTTCCCTCCATGAGGTCTTAGGATCTTGGAGATGTGACCAATAACAATTGGATCTCACAGGAAAGGAAACAAAAACCCACCACAGAGAAATAGCACAAAGGAAAAGCAGTAGGCATACAGGAAACTGGCTGCCTCAACTAGACTCCCTCCCCAGTAATCTGGACGCCAATTTTCCTGGGGAAATTCTGCCCTTCCCTCAGAGACTAAGGGCAGCAACCAGGATAAAGCGGCACAGCTAGGGTGAGCTATGTCAGGGGCACCCTGCCACACGATACCAGAATCTGGGAGTTGGGCCTCCAGTAGGCAGGGGCAATCTGGTCCGTCAGCCAAGACGTCACAGCCTTGGTGGGCCCAAGGCTAAGCTCGGACACTGACTGAGCCATAAAGTTCATCCCGTCCAGTAGACGCTGGGCAGCATTGTTGTTGTCCTTCAGAAACCCATCGGTCTGAAATGAAAACGCTGAGTGAAGGGAGTGAAAAGGAGGGAGAGGGTTCTCTGATGAGTTGTACACTCATGGTGGCCGACTCAGAACCACATACCCCTTGGCAGAGACGACTACGGATAGAGCAGGAATCCCTCTGGCTTCCAGGCAATATCACCCAGCCAGTCATTGCTGATTTATTCCCACAAGACTTCATGCACTGCTGTTCAGTTTATGACTTAACTTTGCCCATAGAGTAAAATATATGATACAGTAAATACCCATGTAAAGATAGTATCCCCGTACCCCAGGCTGGGTTAGGAGCCTTTCAGTTCTTCTAATACCTATGTATCTCTAGGAATTCTGTTTCTATGAGTAAGTGCAATAGCTATATATATATCTGACTCCCCACTAGACTGTGAATTCTCTGAGAACAATAACCTATATTTTGTTTTTGTAAAGCATCTAGTCCAGTTCTAGGCACATAGGACTCTATGATGTAAACTGAAATAATGGAAGAATGAATGAATGCATGAGCAGACCATACAAAGGGAGGCGTCTGTATTCCTCTAATTCAGACGACTCTGAGGAATACAGCCTGAATGTACACTAGGGAATATAAACTATGGTGCCATAGAGATGACAGCTTACAGAAAAAACAACTAACGTGGATCAAGAGAGAACTGGCACTGACCACAGAAGCCTAGTGAGAAAGGTACACTCATTCCAAGCCTCCTTGGGACAGGACGGCCCTGTGCCATCATGCCACGGGAGTAGGCTCCAGGAATGAGATCACAATGCACTGACAACTTTTGGTCATTCAACTGGAAAGAAGAGGAATAAAGAACAGTAAGAAATCTTCAGTTTCATGGTTACCTGTAGGCCCAGGAAGACTCAAAGGTCCGTAGATCTGCAGATAGGCCTGTTAGGCTGACCAATAGCTTTAGAATCAGCCAACAAGGAACAACACACAATAAAATAACTCCCTTAGAGCAAACTGCTAGTCTTTTCCATAAGGAGAGAAAAAGCTTTTATTTATGGATAATTTCCAATGCAAATAGTGGTTTAACTCAGAATGAAGGACTAAATCATTGCCTTCTAAGCAGATTTTGTTTTTGTCATTGTTTTTATGACATCTTGAATTCAAAAGTCTAATTAAAAAATAATAAGGGACTACAGTAAGCTTAAGCCTACTTCTTAGTACACTGTAAGATTTCCCCAAACAAAGAAAAGGCTTTCTTATATGAAAATGGTCACTGTAGCGCTTTCTTTGACTTAAAAATTACAAACAGCATCAGTGTCCAAAAAGGAGAGAATGGGAATCAAACTACAGCACTAAATAGAACATCAGACCATCACTAAAGATGAGATTCGTGAAAAGTGGAAGCAATATGGAAATAAACAGCATATAAGCTGACGGCATCTATGAAAACACTGTGACCATGGGGATGAGTGAGCAGAACATGGAACAATGAGGTTTTACTCACCAATGCAGAAAAACTTTTAAAGTTGTGCCAATATTTATGTAAGAAGAAATGAAAACAGAGTTCTAAGAAAGATCATACCTTCCTAAACCACTAATAATTTGAAATTCATGGTTAACCTTAATTCTGAACAAATTCCACTTTTCCACATCCATAAATAACTAAATACAAGACAAAGAAAGAAAGAAAAGAAAGCCGTTCTTACTCCAGGCCACACGTGTACAATCTCTGTCCGCACCACTGTGTCTACAGGGTCTTGGTTCCCAAACCAGTACTGCCGGCTCCGATACACCACGCCACAGTTAGGACATTCAATCACATACCTACAAAGAAGGCAAATAAACTGTCACCCTGCCAGTGCCTGGGGAGACAAACACACCCAAAATCTTTAGCCACATTGTTAAAACTCACCCAGACCAGGCATATTTTGCCAGACCCATCCAGGGGGAGTCGGTGGAAGCAGATGTTTTGGGCACTACGCTGACTTCCTTGCCTCTCTCATAGCAGGTCTGAAACACGGAACATTCTGCCAGCTTCTTATATGCACACCAGGCCCCATGGCCTCTGCACATTTCCCATCCAGCCCCTGAATCCTGAAAACCATACCAGCTAAGTGGAAAAGATCAGAAGAAAGTCTCTAAAGAAGCCAGTGTCCTGAATGTCAATGCATTGAGTGTATACCCATCCCAGGCCCAAAACCTGAGCTCTAAATTTTACACCTGTGATGGGGTAAATCAATCAAAATTAGTTTCCTAGAGAACACTTCTGCCCTTAAGAAGACTGAATGGTCAATGTACGTGACCCTTACATAAAAGCAGAATGAGGTAAAAAAGCAGCGAGGTCATGGGAGTTTCTTTTGGTTAGAGATGAGAAAAGTTCCAGTGAATTCAGCTGGAACATCAAATACTTTGGGATGCAACATATGGCAGCTCCAGACCAGCCTTTCTCAAAGGAGAGAGTGTGACCAGCAAGCCAGGTGACGGAGCAGGGGGAAGCGGGAGTGCTCACCTTGCAGGTATAAACTCGGTTATCGTACTGGTGAGTGTATCTGCAGCGGCTCTTGGCTTCATGAGGCACTCCTTCCTTCCCATGGTTCATACTGTTCTTACATCCAGCCCTGAGAGAAGCCCAAAAGCAAACAATAAGGCTGCTAAAGGAGTTGATGCCACTTACGCAGAAGAGTCTGACCCTGGGCCAACCACAGGGCTGAAACTACCTTGATAATCAACTGGGGTGCAGATGCTGAACACAGAGAATAATGGTTCATCTCAGCAACCCACGTGCCTCTCTGCTTCCCTTGCCGTCAGCAGCACTACTAAGGCAGAGCAACTACTGACCTGCCCAAGGAGAAATCTCTTAGAAAAACTACCAGATGCTCTCAGCCCTTCTGCAGGAGCGGAGGAGCCAGAGACACCCACCACTTGACAAACTATGACACCTCACTGGCTCTCGTGAAACTCAAAAACCCAAACAGGAATGAAATGGAAATTTTAACCACAACAGCCTGCCAAAATGCAAAACAAAAACCAACCCAGAAAATCTGGCAACGCATTAAGGGGAAGCTTAAGCTGAACAAGAAAACCTTCCAAATGAACAGTGAGCTCTGCTATCCTGACAACTCACAAACAGAGATCAGGGCTTTAGAATTTCACTATGATAAAGGGAAAGTTCTGGCAACCCTGGTGAAGCTCAGTTAGAATGGAAAAGCAATTGAGTCAACAAAGCTCCTCATGCTGGGTACATGGGCGGAGCAAAAGACAGAAGATCAAGTCACACTGGCAACACATCCCTCTCCCCTTTCCATGCTGAACTCTGCAAAATAATCCCTGGTTCTCCCCAACCCAGATGGTATAATCTGAGAGCCAAGTCCTTTTTACCAAGCTCCGAGGTAGTTCAGTAACCAGCAGGTGGCCTACAAATTCAATGCCAAAGGGCCAATCAAGGCCACTCATAACAGGAATAGGCTCAGGCTTCCTCCTTTAGATGGGCAAATGTGGAGGACATAGGAGGGCTCCTGAAGGGAGCAAAGACAACTCAGTAATGAAAAGATGTTTAGTCTGTGCTGGTTTTGTTTTTGTTTTTGTTTTGGGGGGAGGTTATAGGACATGGAAACTGCCATCTGACTCCGACACACTCCACTTACACTCTTGGGGTCCATCACACAAGTCAACAGACTAATTTGATTTAACCTTGCCTCGGGCAAGGTTCAAACTCATCCAGTGGTCCTTAAAGTGTGGACTCCAGCCAGCAACATCAGCATCACCTAGGAACTTGGTAGAAATGCAAATTCTCAGGCTCTACCTCAGACCTACTGAATCAGAAACACTGGGGTGGGCCCCAGCGATGTTTTAACAAGTGCTTTAGGTTTTTCTGATATATGCGAACATCTGAGAATCACCGCTCTTGTCCCTCTGTACACAAATGGTGGTCCACAGACCTGCGGCATAGGCATCACCTGGGAACCGGTTGGAAATGCAGAATCTCAGGTCCCACACTGACTTACTGGTTCAGAGTCTGCATTTTAATAAAATCCCAACGTGATAAACACGCAGCTTAAAGTTTGGGAAGCACTGCTCTCTAACTCAATGTTCTCAATCACAGGCTACAAAAGTCATTAAATCAGAATCCCTAAAGGTAGGGCCCAGACTTCAGTAATTCTGAAAGCTCCCTGGATAATTCTAATGTGTGCTGATCATCTCTTCTGGCAGTGAAAAGAACCACACTGCTTTGCACACACACTGGGCACTCAAATATTTGTTGAAAAAACTGAATATGAATAAATAATGGAAAACCCCTTAGATTAAACCGTAAACCAAAAATATCCTCTGAAGTCTTCTCAAAACCAAACGATAGTTTATCTTAACTAATAAAGAATGTCTACCATGTGCATTATGTGTTTTTAAAAAAACAGAACCATTTAATTTATTCAATAAAGCTCTATGTTTTAAAGAAAATTCTCTTTCTGACTCTGTGCTTATGCTTTCAACACTTTCACAACAGTTTTTCTGCTCCTCAGTAAGAAAGCACACTCGATCCTGTCATGAACACAGTTACCACGTACGGACACTACAGGCCCTACTGGCATTTTTTTTCTTCTGGACAGCCTCATGAGAACTTCAGAAGTCAGCCTGGGCACCCAGTGCATGAGGATTTTGGAACTTTACCAACTTTCTTGGTATAATGGTAAAACATTCTATCACCGAGGGTTTCAGGATAGCCTAGTTTGGTTAGCGGCTGTATTGCAGGACAGCCTACAATGGTAGGTCAGACACTGGAACATTCTGAATGCCTCCAGACAGCATCCCTGAAAAGCAGCATTCATTATGCTCTTTTGAGAGCTATCTACATGGGACCAAATTGACGACAACAACAACTGGAAAGGTTAGATAGGAACCTATGGGGCAGTCAGTTTCTGTTAATGGTAGAGGAACAGCTCAGAAAGGAGGGTGAGAATGGTTGCTCAATTCAGAGAATGTAATCAATGTCACTGAATTGTACATGTAGAAACTGCTGAACGGGTCTAAGTATTGCTGTGTGTATTCTCAAAAACAAG